ACGGCAAAGTAACTCTGAGGCACCTCTCCAACGGTAGTCCAAAGCAGCCTCGTCAGGGGCCCCGAGAGCTTTGTGAGGAAGGTAGGGTCTTGGGTAAAGCGTCGGCTGGCAACGGCTATTATTGCCCAGTAAAGTAGGGGGTATTGCTGGTAGTACTGGTCGGGTGTCTGGGAGGGGTTGAGGAAGGGCAGGAAAGGATGATAGAAGTTGAAGAACTGGCTGAACAGCTGGCCCTCGTCATCCTCCGTGAGCCTGAATTCCTCGAGCTCGCGGGCGATCCGGGGCAGGGCGTAGGAACCGCCACGCTTGAGGTGCAATAAGGACGACACAGCCTCGTCGGACCCCATCAACGAGGGGTTCCTCGTGTGCGAGTACTGGCTGTTGACGATGGGGGATTGCAGCTGCGAGTGGATGGCCTCCTCGTCGTCCTCAATAAGAAAGCCCTGGCTCTTTGCGCTTTGCACGGCGCGGCGCAGCTTCTCAATCTCCTTCTCCATCTCGGCGTGCTTGCTACGCTTCCCGACGCGCTTAAAGTTGGACTCGATCTTGCAGTCGAGCTTGAGGCGATTGCAGCGGGAGCAACTCTGGAAGGGGTCCTGCACAACGTCACAGCGCAGCTAAGCAGGCGGAAGGACAGGTCAGCCGGGCTCGCGAAGCCTTAGGGGTAAGGGGGCCGGGGCAGACCGGGGGGGGGGGGGGGGGGGGGTCTTGTGTGGCATGGGCAACCAGGGGACTTAACCCACCTTTTGCTGACGGCACTCGTTGCAGGCCCGCTTGACGCCGGGGAGGCGGCGGCCTTTAGTCTCGGGAGAGGCATCGTCGTCGTGGTCCTGATCGAGGTCGTGATCGTGATGGTCGTGGTCGTGGTCGAGGATACTTCCGGGGCTGCTGTCCATGATGCTTCTCTTGCGCTTAGGGCCTCCATTCGGGCCATGGGCCCGCATGCTAGCGGGGAAGTCGGGGCTTTCCATCGCGCGGACCGAGGGCCGGGTGGGGGAGAACACGGCTGTTTAGGGTCCAGTGGCTCCCAGAGCCCGAGACGGCACGGAAGCTGTCAGATAGGCTGGTGGCCGCGGCAGGATGGCTCGTTGGGTGGTCCGGTCTCGCGATTGCGATGAGGGAGTTTTGGGTTTTGGAGGAGAAAAAGCCGATTTACGGAACCCGGGTGTGGTCGCTACTGCCCATCCCCCCGCCCGATGGACTCATCGCAGCGCACGCACACTCGAACAATTTGGATGGCGGGACTGCGGGGGCGATTTGGCTAATTGATTGGCCACTGCCCGCAGCCAGGCCCCGCTTGTGGCGAGCGCCCAGCGAATGGTTGACTCACTAGGGGCCCCTCCATCGACGACATGGAACCTCCCAAGCCTTTCCCCGGGAATGGCTGATGGCGACACAACACTCCACGTGTGGGCAAAATCATGGAACTGGCTGTCTTGTCAAGACAAGCTCACGTCGTACGCCGCCAGTCTACCCTGTATTGCTCCCGCCGCCCGGTCGTATGCTTTCTCTGCTCCCCTCCGCGGCCGCCGAGCGCAACGTCCCAAGGATGTCTAAGGAGTGGTCGGCCGCTAGCTTTATTCGGCAAGACACCGCACCGCAAGCTACACTACCGCAGTCCTGTTCCTCGATGCCAGTATCGATGCCGTTGATCCCGCGGACGAGTCCCGTTTGGCAATTGAGTTCAACGTGCTAACCCCACCACACCCCCACCACACCCACCGTCCCGCCCATTGACCGATACCGACGGCACGGCGTCTTCTTTCTTCCCCCATCTTCGGCATCCTCCTCAGCAGCCCGTCCAGCGCCCAGGTACGTATGTATGGCAAGGTACTGTGTATCTAGTGTATCTAGACCCAGCTTCTGGTGGCCTGTGGTCGACGCAGGAAAGGGTCGTCTCCCGCGTCAACGCACTGGCACATTGGCATTGGCACATTGGCGACGGGTCCGGGTCAAGACTTTTCCTGATTCGTGTGCCATTGTATTTATTGGTTGTCGGGCTGCCAGTTCTCGATATCGGTCCTGCCACGACACCACTTGTCAGCTTTTAGACTGAATAGAGGCAGCATCACATCACCAACGGACACAGAAGGATTATGCCTCCAATGTGCCCGCCGGAGCCAGGATCGGCGGGATAGTCGGCACCGAGTGGCAAAACAGGCCATTACCACGGTCGGCCTCCGGTTGTGCCGGCGACGGCGGCTGAAGTGGGTGAGTTGGCTGTTCTCAATCCCGCCTTTTCACTTTCGCTTGGCCTAGTGTATGTAGTCTGCCGTTTCGGGGATTCACACGACTGTTGGGCGCGCTGAGCCGCTCGACCCGCGCAGCTCCATCCCAGTTAGGGGTGTCCAGGTCATGAGGGCAGCTGGTGACGCAGGGGAAACAGCACCTGCGAGGGTGCCAGTTTCTAGCCCCAGCCCTATGCGCATTGCGTGCCGTGCGCCTGTCGGCATCCAATTGGAAGCCGATCAGTCCGGACCGCCCGTCCTGCTTTCTCTCCTGCTTCCGCTCGGTACTGCTTTCGCTAGAGTCTTCTCCATCACCACCATGCCAAAACACAACACCACCCACCACCCTTAAAAACTTGATCCTGCACCCTTCACAAACGGCACGCACGTCAGAAGCTCGGGGCCCCAAGGCCTCGCCCCATACTCTGCAGGCCTCTATCACGGCACACGGCGGTTACAACGAGCAGCTCAAGCTAGCGCCAATTATCGGTCCTATAGTCAAGTGCGGGATGCCGACCCCATACTTGTGGCTGCAGGGTTTCGGGTTTCATCAAAGGATTGATGCTAGACTCGACCCGAGCTGCCAGCAGGCGCTATCGCCGGCCATTCGAGGCAACCAAAGCATTGTTTGTGCAGAGACCGACTTATACGCATCAACACAATATGAGGTGGCCACCGCTTCGGGCCAACCATAAACTCCACTTCTAGGGCGGCCGCTGGCAGAAAGACCGCGCATGCCGTAATGTTTTGAGCGCACCCGAATGCCAGTGACCTCGAACCTTCCCGGAGTTCCAGCCAACCTTGCGTCGAACGCCAAACAACACAGCCACGGCAGGATGATTTAGCTTGTCCCTTTTTTAAACCATCCCCTATCCCCTTGGGGGCAATGACACTATCACGGCTCTCTTTGCCCCGAACACCAGCTGGTGGTTTTTTCTTCTTTCTTTTCCCAGGTGTAAGGCACCCGAGACTCTCCCGTCCAGTGGCGGGAATATGTGGGAGGCCGAAATAAGAAATGAAACGACGCCAGATTTGCTAGCAGGTGATTATCAAAGAATAAGAATACCTGAACCTCTCGTTTCGTGGAGACCCTGGGTTGTGGCATAGCCGCAGCACAAGTCTAATTCTGTCCACCCCCGAGGCGAGAACCAGCCCTATGAAATAGGTCCCCAGGCTGGCCCAAAATAGTCTTGACAAAGGCCTCATAGAGACAGTTGCCACCCGACATCGCAAGGCTGCCACAGTGCTAACAATCTGCTTCCCCGACGAATGAGAAGCCAAAACGCCCAAATCCCTATCGTGGGGAGTAGCCGGCACCAAAATTCACTCGATCCTTCCTTCTGGGACGATAGATCGATTGGGTACCGTCGCTCGCGGTGGTGGCCGAGGCATTACGTATGGTACCAAGGTAAGCAGCAAGCTATTGGGTTGCAACCACTCAGACCACACCTTTACAAGTCAGAGGACCGGCTAAGGAGGGTCTTCAGGAGTGACCTCAATGAGATACCCCCTCCAGCTAAAAGGTGTGTGGGGGCACGCGTGACAGGTGACATGTCCTCAAGATCTAGACACTCCTCAGACCCAGAGCGTTGGATTACACCGATGGATGCCGCTGGCTATCTGCAAGCGGCAATCGTCACCCACACCCCTCCCGGGGAAACGACAGCCGGATGTCAAGCGCCGGGTGATAAGTGCGGAGGATAGGCTGCATGTTCGTGGGAAAAGGGTGGGCTGTTCCCAAATGGTGGTCGGCCTTGATGTCCCATGGCCCCGGCTCCCGCCACATCAACGATCCTGTCGGTCTGTACCACGAGCCGAATCAACCCCGATAGCTTAAGGGATGTCTGAGATATTGGAAATAGGCCGGGCCTATGAGAGATGGAATGGGATCCCTCCCCCCAAAAACGGTCCCTCAGACATAATGTAAGCCCTTGTGGGCTTTCATGTACATTTAGGCTATACCCCGGTACTAATGTTGTTTTTCTTCACTGGGAAGTAGGGAGGCGAGGGTGAAACGCAAAGCTTGTCCATCACAGAGCATCTGCTTTGAAGGGTTGCCTTGGGGGGGGGGGGCAAGCAACAGTGGCACTCACAACCTAAGTATGAGATGTATAATAAGCATTGGCAGCGCTAGTTAAGGTGATAGCGACTAAGTAGTATGTTGTTTTGCATGAATGGCTGCTACACGTTTAACCATACGGCACCCTGGCTTTGTGATCCGATAGTAAGCAAGCAAAAAGCTTCAAACCCAAGTGCCGTATTACTGCAAAGCCAATATACCCTCTGTATTGCAACTCTTAGTATGAGGCATGTTTTCATCCACCCCATCTGCAAGCAAAAGCTTGGTACCGATGTCATGGTTAGACATGGTAAATGCTACATCTCTGAGCACTCTTATCCTTGATACCCTGTCCCGAAGTCAGTCAGGTGTAGATTCATCCGCATTGCAGCTCGGTTCATGCGAGCTGCATTGGCATCTGTGCCTCAGACTACAATGTACAATCCATCATTGTCTTGGGTTACAAATGTCGACTTGATATTTTGGCCCTTAGTTCAGAGAATCGGTATGTGTAGTTGGTATCTTTTCACACACGCTATGCCTCCCACTCAGCCAGCCCCTTTATTTACTAGGGATCTCATTTTCTATACAGGATCTAATGAAGGGTCCATAGCCCGACGGCCATAACATTCATTCAAGTTCAAAAAGACCGACGTATACGAGCCCTGCCAAGATCATACGAGGAAGTAACAAAAATACAATCTGATCTTGATCTCTCCTGCTGGGAATCGAACCCAGGCCCCGGGCCAGCTGTGGATTAACTACTGACCACTATACTGCAGAAGATTGTTGATGTTTGTGTTTGCAAACTCCCCTTTTGATGGTGGCTGTGGAGTGCCCCTGAGTCAGGGGGGAAGAGGTCGGGGTTTAGGGAGGTGGCGCGAGCTCTGTCTAGCCACATCGCCCAACTGTGGCTGGAGCTGTTCAATGACGACACACCCCAAGCTTCGCTCCCATAGCCAAATTTTGTCGAGTCTCGCTGTCAAGGTCGCCAATTGATCGCCTCCTCCACCAGTCTCTTCAGGACAAACCCGGGAGCCAGAATGGGGGCATCAGGATCCAAAGCCGCGCAGAGCGGTGCGCGCAAGTTTCCGACCAGGGCGCCGGGCTCGGCACCTCCGCGAACAGCACCCAGAGCAACGCGACTCCCTCCAGAACCGCGATCCCAACCCCAAGCCCCATTTACAAAGAGCGACGGTGAGTCTCCCATGCACGCCCAAACCGAACCCTTCAATGAAACAAAACTGACACCCCCCTCCCAGCCATCCGCGCCGACTCCCTCGATCCCCAAGGCCCCCCCGAGCACATCACCCCCGCCTTTGCGCACCGGCTCAAAGCCATGGGCGTCGCCCAGCCGAACCCGACCTATTCGGCCACGTCGACCTACTCGCAAGGGTCCGCCACACCAACCATATCCTCGCAGTCGCAGTCGCAGTCGCAGTCGCAGTCGCGGTCCGCCGCGCCGCAGCAGGTATTCCCGTCGGCGGCAGGCAACGCGACGCTCAACGTGCTCGAGTCCCGGCGGCGGCTGGAGGAGGAGGCCGACGCCGAGTTCAGCCGGGTCGGCCGGGCCAGCAATACCGCGGGGCGCGAGTTCTTGGATGTTGCTACCATCAGGGAGGCGCTGGTGCGCCGCCAGCGTGGCGAGTCGGCGGCTGAGATTGAGTCGGTGTTGAAGCTCAAGCCGGGTGTGGTTGCGAGGCTCGGGCCGGCCGGTCTTGTTTCCACAACATGAAGAGGCCGCCTGCCTGATCTACGTGGCACCATAGCGGCGTTTTTGGTTTGTAAAAACATTGTGTTTTCGTATTGTTGCTATCAGGACCATATCCATGTGGACAAAAAGAAACAATCATCCCAACCCAACCCCCCAATACACCCAGCCCAATATATTCGTATTGTCCCAAACGCTAGGGCTTCTTAGACAGTACGTAACAAAAATTGCTGAGGGTGTTCATGTCTGCATGCTAAATCCCTCTAGATAAAGCTCCTATTGGGCGCAGGGGCAAGCGGGCCATTCCCAGTCACAGCATTCGCAATTCTTCCGACAAACTCGGGCTTCTATTGTGGCGATTCAGATGTCAGACGTCTGCCAAGGCTCCCTCTGTGCAGGAGAGTGGAGTTGAGGTTCGACATACCGAGACGCGCTGGGCCGGCGCCCTCTGGGTGCTCTACGCTCCTCTCAGTCATCATCAACCCAGATGGCATGCCGACAACCATTACTGGAAGAACGGCAGAGAAGATGAAGGCTTTGAACCGCATGTTTGCCTCGTGAAATTATTTTTTTTGGGTTAAATGTTGAAGAAATGATGGATGGGTGGGTTTGTATTCAGGTAGAGTTGTGTGGTCTTGCTCTTGAGGGGATATTGGAATGAGGGCGACAATCACAATACTCTATATATTCAAACTTTCTTCGGGCTATGCCCAAGCCCAGGCATGCTGAGAATTACCTAGAAAAGAAAGAGTTACAGTCAGGGGCGGATGTGGAAGGTAAGGCAAAACGGACCGGAAAACCACATCCCTATACGAGATGCTCAAGTCGCATCGTGAAAGCCAAGATCTCAGCTCCGACCAACAATATATTAAGAGTTAGAAAACTACCACCGCCTATAATAACCATTTTCCAACTAATACATGCGTCCTATATCAGATGCCTAGATAGGCCATTTGTATCTTTGTCTCGTAATATACCGTAGCTGGGAATTTAGGTGAGCCTAGGTATTCTGCAGTACAGCCAGAGCAGGCGGCTACCTTGGAAAGGAGTACCCAAGCAACCCAACCCGACATTCGAGTTCGTCTTCAGTGTTGCTATCAAGCATAAGTAGACACCCTAAAGCATCTTTACCCGTGATAAGTCGCGCCCCCCCTGGAATGTCCGCGTTAGGAAGCTCACAATGCTGATATTCTTCTGACTCGGGAGTTCCCGGCAACATCACACCTCGGAGCGAATTAGGCGAGTTATTCCAGCCTCACGGCCGAGAGATCAGCCATTAAAGATAGGATCAATACTTGCACTGTCATCGTTACAAAGCTTTCAGCTTAGAGTGGCTCAAGGTCCTCAAATAGCTGTTTCGCGGTAGTTGTTGGCAGCCCATGGACGCCGTCAAGGGCTTGAGCCAAATGTCGCCCGCCGACCATCCAAGTGAGGTGCTGGGCTTGTCAGCTCCATGTGGTGACGGTCATCTCCGGCTGAGCGATGAGACAGCATGGTGGATTTGGGTGCAGTCCTGAGTTTGGAAGCATGGGAAATGGACACCGGTTTTAGGGCTGTTAGCGAGTTGTAAGCTAAAATATCGCGCAGCCCGGATAGATAAAGTGTCTTCCATCGGTGGACAGAATTTCTGGCTGAAATATTTATGTACATTAAACCCTCAAGATACCACCTTGCTAATACCTATTCCGATTCGCTCCTTTCTCGCGTTACGCTTGTTTACCAAGCACAATGACCTCCGTCAATCCGTAGATCGGCCCCCGTCATGAAGCTGCTGGCATCGCTGAGGAGGAACACGGCCGCGCCTCGGTATTCCTCGGGGTAGCTGAGCCGCTTCAGCATGTTGGCGTCGGGCCACGCCGTCTTCCTCTCCGGGAAGGCCTCGAAGAGACCGGCCGTCATAGCCGTGACGATGTAGCCAGGCGAAATGGTGTTGACGCGGATGCCGTGCTCTCCCCACTCCGCCGCCAGGTTGCGCGCGAGCTGCAGGACCGCGGCCTTGGAGGCATTATACGCCCTACACACCGCAGCACGGGGTTCATCTAATGCTCACTTCACTCTTCGTTTTCTCTCACCCATACAACACATAATCACACTCGGAGTTCACAGTAGAGAAAAGAGGGGGGGGGGGGGGGGGAGGCTACTTACGGACAGATCAACCCCCTATTCGCCACCGTGCCACTCATGCTCCCAATGAGCACCAAGCTGCCCGGCTGTCCCCTCTTGATCATCTGCCTCGCCACTGCCTGCGCCGTCATGAAAACTCCGGTCACATTGACACCCAGCATCCGATCCACATCCACCGCCGAGTACTCGAGCGCCGGTGTCTCCTGCTGGATGCCGGCCGCCGCAATCAGGCCGTGCACGCCGCCGGCCGCGTCGGCGATACCGCCGACAATGTCGTTGAGCGCCGCTTGGTCGCGCACGTCGACGCGGTGGTACGTTAGGCTGGATCCGAGCTCGCGCTCGGCGCGCGCTGCGACCCGCGCGAACTCGGAGTCGGCTTCTGGCGGGGGGAGCACATCCAGCGCGTGGACGACCGCGCCGGCTTCAAGGAGGCCCTCGGCTTGCGTCAGTCCCACCCCACGGGCGCCACCCGAGACGATGATGACCTTGCCGGCAAGGGAAAATTCGGGGAGAAGCGTGCTGCGTGCTGCGGGAGGAGGTGCGGCGGCGGTGAGGCGTCGCGGGGAGCTGTGCAGGTTGCGGGAGAGAAAGGCTCGGAGAGTGTTGTTGGTGGTAGTTGACCTGCTGCCTGGGTGTCGGAGAAGCAGTGTGCCAGCGCATCCTGAACGAGGGTGGGGACGGGGTAGGCCTCGAGGTATGACGGAGCTGGCCGCTCGGGAGACGAGTTTGGTCATCCTGAAGGATCAGAACCTTATAATACACGGTGAGGTTGAATGAAGAACCTGGACGGGTCGCGTTTGAGGGCGGTAATGATTGAAAAGTCAGTGGGCAAAGTTCGACGCTCCTCTTTCCCGATTTATAGAGAACGGAAGCCGCCATTTAGTCGTCGGAGTTTGACTCGGGCCATGTCAAGTTGAACAAACGGCTGTGACAGCAATTTTCAAGCTTTCCCCTCATCTTGCCCCTCCCAACTCTCACACACAGCAGCTGAGCAGCACCATGCAAGTGATGTGTCGAGGGGTTGCTTGCTCAACCATGGTCCCTTCGTCCCCGTTCTCCGTTCCTCCGCTGTGTGAGTCTAGTGTAGAGTTGTGTATAGTATATACTGTGTATAGTGTATACTGTATCGAGTGGGCAGTGGGACCGCCCGCCAACGAGCCTGTCGACGCCGCCGAAACGGAGAGGAGCTTAGACTCGATTGTCTTGCAGCCGGTGAGACAACATCCCTGAAGGTCGGTGAGGCCCAGACTGTGGTTCGGCTTCACTCTACCCCCGTGTCGTGTCCCCCGGGGGGGCCTCTCATTGGGTTATAGTCACGGGATGGGTGCTGCCCTTCGGAAAACGAGAGCCTCCTCAGTTGAAGGACCAAGGAGAGAGCGTGAGCACGCCATCATGGGCTGGTGGCCGTCTCACGGGTCCAGCTCCGGTGTTGGGATTGATTGTCCAATGCTGGGTTTGCCTCTCCGATGTAGCGATGCAGCTGCAGCCCGGCCGTGGGCCCGAACGCAGGCCTTAGCGCCGATCTTTCTGTGGGGAAGAACTGGGGTGAGCAAACGACCGGATTGCCTGATGTGGAAGAGCCGGGTGAGGAGGCGGCGTGTCGGGTGGCGATCATCGAGTTGGCGCTGAGGGGTCGAGGGCTCCCCACGGCGAATGGATATAGGCATATTATCGTACCTCAGCAAGGTACACCCAGCAAGGTACACAAGCACAACTCTCGCATCCGTCTAGGAGGATCGGACTTGGAGGGGGGTTTGATGCAACTTTGGACGCCATGGATCTCACTGGCGACGGCAAGCGCTGCGAATGTAGGCGAGCTATCAGTTATCCCAAATCAACAAGCTGCAGAGTGGATAAGGTAGCAGACAACTGATGAGATAGCGCGAGGCAGGTGGGTATTACCCGCTGCCAGTCGCAGTCGCGAGCCGAGACACTGGAAGCATCAATCCGG